TCCAAACACCTAAAAACGTCCATATTTTCGTAATTAGAGCTTGGAGGAAAATGAAATTCAGCATGCTAGTAGGTTGATACGTTAGACATTGAACCTTGGTCATTTTGGCCAACATAGATGTCAGAAAATGATTTTATTGGCAAAAAAATGGGTGAAAAAAAGTTGCATTTTAAGCCAAAAATCGAACAAAAAGAACGCGTTTGGAACATTCGAACAACCATGGAACAATGGAACAGCGTGTTCGATAACCGCGGGTCAATGACCCTAGCGCTACGCACGGAACACCCGAGCTTTCCAAATATGGGCATCCGCCCTTGTATGACACGAGAAGACATCGGTGGACCAAAGTCAGCGGTAAGTTTTCATTTTTCTTCGTAAAATACGGTCATATGAATACCAGTCTCGAGTAAAGAATATTGCATTGGGATTTTGGGTTCAATATCCACAAGTAGGACTGCAGATTTCCACAGAACGCGGGAGACTTTGTTTAACTTTTTGCATGTTATCGCCGGCTCAAAAAAAAAAAAACACTAGCAATTAACTAGCCGGCTCAAATCTAAAAATAAAGCTCTAGTAATTTACTAGCTTCCTGACTTGATAGAATCTCGTATGTTTAGCGATTTAGGCTTGTTGCTGTTTTGAAAATAAATTAAACAGAATTGTGTTCATCCGTAACTATTGTCGACTTTGTAATTATGTAGGTGCGGGGCCGGGGAGGGGGGCGTTAGTTTACGTTTATTACTCATAATATAACATGGATACTAGTATAACATTACATTTTGTCGTTTTGTCAGACAGTTTCAATCTTTTTTCGGGATAACACAGTACAGTTCATGGGATAAGCATCAAATCGGGATTCATGGCGATATCCTGCGGGATTTTTCGGGAACCATGTTGACTAAGATCTAAGATTTTTACAGACAGACGGTGCAGCGCATGTTTGTTTCCAAATTATGCATGATGATAACAGTAGCACAAACGAATAGTGTTTTTAATCAAATGTTTTTTTTTAATATCGAAAATTTTAGTGGCTTAATAATGTTTAGAACGATAACAAAATAATACAACCATCTTGGTACGAGAATTTTTGTCTGACCTTGCGATGTGGACGGCCCGCTAAGTACTGCTTTTGATGTCACCCGACCGGCGCTATCTCAGATATAAAATCTAACACAGCCACTCGAGAAGTTCTTCTCCTAGATATGGGAGGTCTACGCACGGAGTTGCGGAAGAGAGATTAAACATTATACAAAAGAGGGGGCGAAGCATAATTCAAAGGTTCTTTACGCCCTTGGCTTTGTTTCCGACGATCAAGAATTGATTTCGTGTTACTGTGACTGGGCCACGTTGCCATAGAAACGGCACGCAGGATAGCTAGCAGACCGCGGGCACCCAATCATAGCGCACAGACGGGGACCCGCCCACTGGCTGGGCGGTAAGATTTCAAACTCAAAGGCTCGATGCTCCGCCCAAGAGACTACAACCGCCTGACGTTTTGTAGCGATTTTCCACCTCAGCCCTGCACGCGGCATTCTATTTTTCTCATCCCGATTTCATTTTCCAAAACGTTTTTCACAAGTGATATCGAGAACTAGAATGCTTTTTCCACCGGAAGAATTTTTACCAGCCGCGTGGAAGTACTTGCTTTCAGGGTAATACGTACGTGAATGGACGTGGTCGGATCGTTGTTGATTGTTGATGCAAGGGTTTATTTATGTATATGTGTAACGGTTACGTGTTTGGGGAGGGGTGAGACGCACGCCCCGGGATTTTGATGGGCAAACTTTCCTAATTTTCGTAATACAGAGACTACTTGACGCTCACGAGATGTCACAATGAAACACAACAACTCCAGCCGGTACGCCCCATTTTAGTTGATGGTTTAACTTTATAAACTTGACAGATTGATTGTTTATAAACTTGCCGAAAAATTCACTGGAGACGAAGGGGTTATTACAAATTCATTCCTGCTATTTTCTTACAGTTTTTGTGAGTTTTTCGCTGCACAAAAGCTTTGTAAAAATTTAGCAGTTCAACTATGACCGCTTGAGGAACGCGTTATACACAATATACACAATTATGGCAAAGTTGACTGACGTCAGGGTGCTCCATTGGCCGGAAGCAGGACATTTCGACGCCGTCATCGGTTATAGGACCCGCAGTAGACTTGGAGATCTCGCATCAAGTTTTTTTCGCTCCGCAGGACACGCGGATATCTCGCGGGATTTATTGGGACGCCTATCCCGAAAAATTCCACATCCCGATGATGCATATCCCGTGAAGTTATCTCTCATAATAAGGATAATTGCCTATAGGAATTTGACAGAAGAATAAATAGTGTTGGGGCTTCAATGTATATGAAGAAATATGTGAACGTCTGGTTTCACTAAATTTGTAACTTGAGTCTTATGCTTGCGTTGTTATTCTTTAATTGCATACAGACAACAGTGTTCTCTGTATTAACAAATTGGTCTGCTGTAAAATTTGAATATATATCAATATATCATACCCCCTTTGACATATATTATATACCCTCTTGGACCCCGCCTGATATAGTTATACGTTGTATACATATGTATTATGCTTTCCTTTTGTGGTTCAATGACTTAGACATATATTATCAGTTTCTGCTCACTTTTGAAATGCTTACTCTCCTTTTTGTATCCTCTTAAGATTGGACCTCTGCTAGGAAAGGAAGCAGAACTTGGTCCATGAGAAACTGGAGAGGAACCCAACAGAGCTGAACCCAGCCATCCACAGAAGGATACAACACATCACAACCATTTCTAGAAACACATTATATCTCCAATTTAGCCAGTAAATATGTATGTTAAGTTGCATAATATATGTAAGTCATGTATAGCTTTTTAAGTATGTATGTATGGTTTTATAGAGTGTGTAGTTCCAATATTTTACACAACTGTAGATTTTCATCATCATTGCAATGATTTTCATATAAAAGTTCAAAGAACACTTATTATAGAAGTGGGTATAATTCACTGGCTAGGCAATCAAAAGAACAAGTAAAACCCAACAAAACTGGCTTGATATATATCTAATGTACTGTAGTATAAAGACTAAAGTGTACTGTAGGAATAGACCTCATTCCAGATACAGTCGCCATATTGATTTTATTCTCGCGAGAGCGCATCCTTGGCGTGAGCGCGCGTGACCTCGCACGAAAGCGAGGCTTCCGTGTGGTCGCGGATTCCCTGTAGTACGTTCTAACACAGTCGATAGCGATACTCCAACTTCAACGGTGAGTTTTGCCCGTCCAGTGTAAAATATTGCCGGAATTACTGCTTTCACGGGTAGAGAATGTTGTTGTGGGCATGTGGGATCGATTTCGGCGGGTAGAAATGCATGTTTCTTCCGACTTTGAACATTTTGGACGGGCGGCATTGTACCGTATGTGATGCACTTTGTTTACATTCTACGTACGCAGCTAACTCATATAATATCGAGAAAAATATCGAGTTTAGCCGGATATATAGCCACAAAAACCTAAAAATGTTGGCCCTGGAGTCTTGTGGGTGGAAATTTATGGAGTGTTCGGCGATTTCTCCGTAGATTTATCGGTTATAGCGTCTAATGTCCGGCCGTACGTAGAGTGAAACTTTCGTAACTTGGGGAGGGGGGCGGTTGTTATTCTAACGTCCCCCGTTTATTATTATTATTTGTCTATGGAACTTTACTAGAATAGAACGGTACAAAAACATAACTTACCTTGGTGAGATCCTGTTGGGTAGACATAGGTCTCTTGAACCTATGCGGGGCATGTGTTTTTCTAAACGTCCTACGTTTTTGGAGACGGGGATTTTCCAATGTTTACAATACAAAATGTATTATAAGAACATCATAAACAGTGTCTGGATGAGATCCTGGCTTCGGGTGGTTTATGTTCTCATTTCTTTATTTATATTTATGTCTTTGTCTAAAATTTTAACATTTTTTAAAACTCTTTTCAGACAAACACTACCTGCCCGAAGAAGGAAAAGAAATTCAAGTCTGCAAAGCACAACACAGGACCATAGAAACAGTGCCGCTAGGACATCTACCTTCTAGTATCACATGGTCTTTGCCCCACTCATGTTGTCAAATATGTATTATTTGGTTGTTGCCAAAAGGTTTTCGTATGATCCTAGTGTTGATTGATTTTATCAGGCACAAATACTGTTGTAGTGTAAATACAATGTAGTGTTTATTGAGTACAAAAGGAAAGAGCTACTACTAGTACATGTAATAGGAAACAGATGTGTGAACAGTATGTACATGTATCAGAAACTGAAAACAGTTCAGTAACACTCTTTAATTCATTCCTAATAAACCATGTATAGTTTAAGTTGGTTTTCCACCATTTGCTTCTCATTGAAACATGTAGCCATGACTCATTTTTCACTGGATCATGTATGAGTAGATTATATACAGAGAGAGTACCCAAAATTCCAAAATACATGTAAGTTAGGAACACTTGCTTGAAGTTGCTTCTCACCATTTTTTTTATTTGTGAAAAAACATGTAAATGTTCTTGTAACCTTCAGAAACATGTAAATACAATGCCACTTCAATGAACATGACAGTTTCAGTAGTTCTGTACAAGTGGTGGTAAAAAGTTTGTCAGGTAAGCATGGTGAAGATGTGGTCTGTGATGGTAGAGCAGTCGGTGATGGGGATGTTGCCAGGTCAGGTTGAAGTATAGCCATGTTGGTGTCGAGACCAGGATCCGAACAACTAGCGGAGGAGTCCTCAAGTTCATCAATCTGTAAAGTCAATCAAAAATGCAATGGCAATGTTTGAGTGCAACAATATAAAGTGTTCTTTACAAGAAGTAAAATACCATGTGAAGCAATCCAAGTATGTTTTTATTAGCATCCAAAAAGAAAATTATGCGGACATTACTGATACAAAACTTTATGGAATCAAATTCAAACTATGTACATTGTAGTTGACATGCAACATTTACCTTGTTAAGTCTACACTCCTTTCTTTTTGAAGTTTTTCTTGGTGGGAGAACATCTCTTCTTTGGAGCTGGTCTCTCTGGTTTCTGCTTCACCCAGGAGTGAAGGACGGGTGCTGCACCTGAAATCATACAATATGGAAATTTTCATTAACAGTTATATTTTTTAGCAATGCCAGATTAATAAGAAGAATATTATTTGTAAGAAAAGTTTAAAATTTTACACAAAGACATAAATATAAATAAAGAAATGAGAACATAAACCACCCGAAGCTAGGATATCATCCAGACACTGTTTATGATGTTCTTATAATATTGTAAACATTGGAAAATCCCCGTCTCCAAAAACGTAGGACGTTTAGAAAAACACATGCCCCGCCTCTCCCACACTGCGTGAGTGACTAAAAACCTGGCTGGGCGCTTTGACGTTGTAATCGATGAATCTTCAGGGCGACCGCCAAAATTTCGTTCAAGAGACCTATGTCTACCCAACAGGATCTCACCAAGGTAAGTTAGGTTTTTGTACCGTTCTATTCTAGTAAAGTTCCATCGACAAATAATAATAATAAACGGGGGACGTTAGAATAACAACCGCCCCCCTCCCCAAATTACGAAAGTTTCACTCTACGTACGGCCGGACATTAGACGCTATAACCGATAAATCTACGGAGAAATCGCCGAACACTCCATAAATTTCCACCCACAAGACTCCAGGGCCAACATTTTTAGGTTTTTGTGGCTATATATCCGGCTAAACTCGATATTTTTCTCGATATTATATGAGTTAGCTGCGTACGTAGAATGTAAACAAAGTGAGTCACATACGCTACAATGCCGCCCGTCCAAACTGTTCAAAGTCGGAAGAAACATGCATTTCTACCCGCCGAAATCGATCCCACATGCCCACAACAACATTCTCTACCCGTGAAAGCAGTAATTCCGGCAATATTTTACACTGGACGGGCAAAACTCACCGTTGAAGTTGGAGTATCGCTATCGACTGTGCAAGACTCCATTGTTAGGCCGCGTCATGGGAAACCTCACCGCAACTGCGGTCTCGTTTTCGTGCGAGGTCACGCGCGGTCACGCCAAGGATGCGCTCTCGCGAGAATAGAATCATGTATCTGGAATGAGGTCTATTAGTTCTTCATATCACTGTATATCATTTCATTATATGTATATGATATACGTACTTACTATGAGCCTTCTGCCATGTATTTGTAATATTACTACTAATAATAAACTTATTATCATTATTATTTCAGCCTACGTCCTGTTTCCTACTTACAAAAATGTAATAAGGTTGTGAGACGAGCTCAACAATGTCCTTTGTAATTAAAGCTGTCAAAAAGACTTGAAGTTTACTTGCAGTCTGCAGAGGATGTCATTGATTAAAGTGACCGGCAGATTTTAAACTTGGCCTTACAACGGCAAAAACATTGAAATTCCCCAGTTATAACGTTAATGTTACTCTATAATAACAGTACATAAAAGTCAGTAATATAAGCAAAATATCCTTCTACCCATTCTTTCCCAATAAATGTATAACGCTAAATCGTAGGCAAGACCATCCTGAGGTAAACATCTGTATCTGTATCTGTATAGCCGGTATAACCGCCTTTCGGCGTAACACACCAGCTTCGCAGGCACGCGGCGCGGCGGCAGCTGGTTATATTACACCGATCGACTTGTTACACCTAACCCTTGAACTTCTAGCTCTAGACATTGTTTAAAGCTATCCATTGACAATGCCCCTACTGTACTTGTTGACAGTGAGTTCCACTCTGCGATAGTTCTAGGAAAGAATGAATTCTTGAACACCTCGATCCTTGGTTGATAACTCTGGTACTTGAATGCGTGGCTATTTCTTGTTCTCTTCTGGGCTGGTATTAGGTACTTAGTAGTTGGGACATCCACCAGTTTATTAGTCATTTTGTACATCATGCATAGTCTAGACATCTTTCTTCTGTCTTCCAGGGAGGTCCACTGTAGGTTTTTGCATTTGCTTGCAAATGTTACCTTTCTAGTTGTTCACTTGTTTTCATTTCGTTCTTGCTTTGTTATATGTATAGATCTGAACTTTGCCAGTTCAAGGTGAAGCCGAGGTGGCTCTCTGTCGTTCCCACAGATGTTATTCTTTCATGATTTTTTTTCCTATCTCGTCAGAATTCTCCGGTTTCAGTCCGGACAGTTGTCACCTGTACGTCTGTGTTTTCATGGCCTTTGCACATCCTTGGGCGGCCTTATGTATCAAATTTTCACAGTTTCCGTGTCGTCAGAGGCCCGCCCGGCGACTGTAACGTTACTGTGTTCAGTGTTTTCTTGTACACCGTGGTCCAGTTGTGACGTTAACGTAATCCGGTGCCCAGAGATTCAGTTTGAAATTATGGCTTTGTGTGAGCTGTATTACTAGTGTACATTGAATCCTTGTCTTCCCATGGTGTAAACTTTTCAGTGATGTTATTCTGGTCCGTTGTGTTTCGTATTTGTTTTCCCATCCTACCTGTCTCGGTTTTGAGTAAGTTCCCTGGTTCTGCTAAGTGCTTTCCTTCCCGTTTCTTCCTTATTGGTTCTCATATTTTCAATGGTTTTAGACAGTTCTGGGACGTAACTAATCAGGATTGTAGAGGGACGTCTATGACGCCGTCTCGAGTGTCCGTCACCTTCCGGCCAGACTCCTGAAAACCATCTGTTCCCCTTCCCCATAGTCCTGGCGTGTTCTGTGACTGGCAGTTCCGCCGTGGCTTCGCCTACTTCCCAGCCTCTTCCCACGTTCGTCTCTGAGTTGCCCCTTTGTCCCCCTCCCCGGGGACCCGGTGCGTGCGCTTCCCACCTCCTCCCTCGCATTCCTCACCCGTCCCACCTCGTCTGGTTCTTCTAACTTTCGGCCGTCGCTAATTCACGCTTGTCACCCATCAATGTCACCTGCCAATTACCCCTTCCTCCGCCCTATACTTCTGCTGATTCACGTGTGTCCCTCCCTTGCCCATATCCTGTTACGCGTACCCACGCCGTTATTCCGCTGACTCGGTCCCTTACAACCGTTTACTCATTCCGCTGTCCATCACCCGGGGTGCTTCTGACTTCCTTACTAAATAGGTTGACTTTTTTCCGCCCCCTGAAGAAACAACTGACAGCGTCAACCCACTACATGTACTGGGTAAAGACCCCAGACCGCCTCAGTTCTTTCCTCCTATCAAGGCTGAAATTTCAGCATTTGTGTAAACTCCTTACATCCATAAAACCAGGGCCACTCCGTCCCACCCCCAAACTGTCACTCAAAAATGAATTAGCAAATAAGAGCGCCGGAGAGAAGTCTTTGTCTGAAGAGTACATTGTCGGTGTTCTAACTCCTAAACACCCGGGGCCTAGGGATTCTAAGATTGTGAATTTTCAACTGCTAACCCACTACTTCCCCCAACAAGCGGACCCGGACTACGTTCCGGGCCCGCGTCGTCGCCGACAAGGCCACCGAGGGCTCCAAGGCCCCAACCTGCCGATGACCCCGCTCCGGCGGACCAGGACCCGCCAAGGGTCCCCTTAACCGCCCTGGGAAATCCCCGGGGCACCCCCAGTTCTTCTGTTTCAGGGTCAGCGAGACACGGTCAGACCAATAACCGCGACGACCTGTCGCATGACGGTGATGCCACACCGTCGAATCCAGCACGGGGGCGGACATCTCCCTGCCGACACGACCGACAGGCGCCGCGGTCATCACCGCCTCCAGGGGGCCCACGTCCGGGCAGTGTTATTCTTCCCCCTTCCTCAGGTACGCCACCCGAGCCAGTTCCAGCGGTTCCTGCACGTGGGGGATCCAACCGGGCCATAGCCGTTGGCACCAGTGAGTCAACAGCCCGAGACCACGCCGGAGCGGAGCAACCACCTCCTGCCCACACCAGAGGGTCGGCAGTTCCTGTCCCTGGGGAAGATGACGAACCCGTCCGTGTCCGCACCAGAGGACCGGCAGCTCCTGTCCCTTCTCTCCCCCTTCTATTAGGAACACCTACCCGGTGTGTTCGTGGCCACGCCAGAGCTAAGCAGTCCACCGGAGGGTCAGCAGTTCCGGTCCCTGGGGGAGACGAGCAGTCCGTCCCAGTCCTTGCCAGGGGGTCAGCAGTTCCCGTCCCTGGAGGAGACGAGCAGTCCGTCCCAGTCCTTGCCAGAGGGTCAGCAGTTCCTGTCCCTGGGAGAGATGACGAACCCGTCCCTGTCCGCACCAGAGGACCGGCAGCTCCTATCCCTTCTCTCCCCCTTCTATTAGGAACACCTACCCGGTGTGTTAGTGGCCACGCCAGAGCTGAGCAGTCCAACCCTACCCATACCGGAGGGTCAGCAGTTCCTGTCCCTGGGGGAGTCGACGATTCCGTTACTTCGTCAACTCGCGAGGGGGTTCCCGATCCGTCGTTCACTCCGCGTAACACCCAGAGTACCATTGACGTGCCTTCGGACAATGATAGCTTGGCTACGTCACGGAAAAATACTCGGCCGTCGGACTCGTGTAAACTGGCCGTACGACCCAAGAAGTGCGAGGGCCATTCGGACATTTCTATGCCTGACCCAGATGAATCGGCACGAACCTCCTTATCTACTTCGCGCAGCACCAAGCACACCGGTGACGAACCTTCGGACAATGATAGCTTGGTTTCGTCACAGAATTCTCGGCCGTCGGACTTGTGTAAACCGGCCGTACGTACTGAGAAGTGTGAGGGGCTTTCGGACATTTCTATGCCTGCCTCCGGAAAATCTGCGCCTACATTATCTTCAACACCTGCAACGCGTACTGCAAGACCTCAGCGTCGACGAACATGCCCTAGGCACCTAACAGACTTTGTATGTCATGGGGACTATTCATTGACTGGTAGTGGTAGTAGTGATAGTGATTAGTCAGTAGCGAACATGACCATGTTCAGGTTGCCATTCAGGTTCTCGACAGTCTCAATCGCCCAGAAACAAATTCAGGTTCGACCCCCACCCACGCGACTTTCAGCTCGGCTGGCTCCGTTTCCTCCTAAGTTCCCGGTGTCCATTTCTTGACCTTTTTTCCCATTCGGCTCTCTTCCATGAACGTGTCACATCTGTACGGTCTCGAACGACACCGTTTTCGTACGGTAGGTTTCCGCGAAAGTAAAACCTGATGACCTTGTCATCCTGGTCATCCAAATAAGTAGAGCACGAGTTCCACGCCAAAAGTGGAACCGACGTTTTCCGTCAGTTAGCTAGTTAGTTAAGGGCACGAGTTCCATGCCAACATTGGAACCGACGTTTTCGTCAGTTAAGTAGTTAAGGGCACGAGTTCCATGCCGAAAAAGGAACAGATGATTCGTCATCCTTTTTTTTTCTCTTTTAACGTTATTGTTGTCGCAGAGGCGCGGCCGATCCTAAAGAGTGGATGCGGTCGGTCTCTGGTTCTCGATTGATGCGGCTCGGAGATAGCCGGTCACCGAGGTCTAAATTTCGTTGGACGCTTGTTGTCCTGTTCAGGGTACTCACCCTTCTGAAATTGGTGTCACCTAGATGTCACCGCACATCGTAACATTTCGCCTCCTTGAGGTCCAAAATTGTCTTTTGTGGTGAGGCTTTTAGGGCTCCCCGCGTTGCATCGTTCAGGGCCGTTCGCCCTCACTCACAAGGCATCCTTCTTCCAACAATGGTGTTAAAAGCCACTCCGGTGGGCACCGCGGACACCCTCGGGGTCCCGTCAGGATGCACTAATTGCTACGGACGACAAATTGGGGACTTCCCCCACGTCCGTTTTTCACGTCACAAACAGTCCTTTCCGAACCTTGTGGGGAAATGCCTTTAACCGGTCGGTCCAACGGACCTAGGGGTCCCCACGAGCCAGAGAAATGCCCTTAATCGGGTGTGGAAGAACGCGACCACTCCCGTGGGTCATCTGTTATGAGGATTGCGACTGTTCTGTGGGGAGGTGGCCAAATTTCTACCTCCCCCTCCTTTTCTTTGAACCGACGTGACGTTGCGCAAAGTTGCAATGCGCTTTCTTCGACAGCCAAAACGCTGTCGCACGGTAGCAACGTCAGCTCATGGCT